ATATACCCCAGCAGCTACGACAAAAGGTATGTCACACACACACATACACACCTTGGAGATATGAGAAGAGTTAATATGATTGCATAGGAGATCTGGGTGTCATCTTTGTACTTGGAAAGTTTCAACAAAGTCATGTTTGGATATATTTTTCAGGAGTAGCTGTATCAGATTGGGAAGTGCTTTCATTGAAGAGCCATGAGCTGTGCTTGAAAGGGCAGGCAAGAAAAGCCCGCCATAGCCAGGGAGTGGGGAGCCCCCACCTGAGATGAGTGTGCCGTACAGACCCCTCAGATCCAGAGGTGGGAGGCTGTGACAGCATAGGATGGGACTATCAGCCAGTTTATGGAATGACTTTTAATGACAGCTAGCGGAGTCCAGGCTTTGTCTTGGAGACAGCTAAGAACCCAGGAAATTTTGTGAATGATATATATGTAAGAAGAGGAACTTTGGAAAATTGAGTCTATCAGCCTTGAAATGAGCATCTATAATGCTAAGTAGGTGCTAGCGCAATTATCCAGGAGTGAGAAGGGGCCTTGCCTGGTGTTGACAGTGAAAAAGAAGGGAGGAGGTAGAATGTACAGGACAGTAGCAATGATGATGCACACCTTCATCTTGCACCTCTCCCCCTCTCTCTTCTCTAATATCCAACTTTTTTTTTGGGGGGGGGGTGAAACAGAGTCTTGCTATGAAGTCCAAGCTGGTCTCAAACTTACTGTGAAGTCAGGTGGGACTTGAAGTCCCATAAGTGCTCCTGTCTCACTCTCCAGGGGCTTATAAGTATGTGCCGCCATGACCAGTAATACCCAACTTCTTTAGCCAGTCTTCTTCATTTCTTCTCTGTGGCCACAAATGGAATTTCCCTTATGCAAATAAATTAAAAATCTAGATATCACTTTCCCAAAAAATGATTGGTTTTATTTTATTTATTTATTTATTCTTTTGGTGGAACCAGGGATTGAACTCAGGCCCTTGTACTTGCCAGGCAAGGACTTATTCTACTAGGGCCATCTCCCCAGCCCCTAAATGATTGGTTTTAGCACTTATCGTATAGAATCAGTTAGTGATGTTTCCCCTTTTAAAACACATTAGTAGGGGCTGGGGAGATGGCTTAGTAGAATAAGCACTTCCCTGGCAAGCGCAAGGGCCCCAAGTTCAATCCCTTGTTCCACCAATAAATAAATAAATAATAAAACACATTAGTAGGGCTGGGGATGTAATGCAGTGTTACAGCGTTTGCCTAACATGCACAGAGTCCTGGGTTTGAACTACAAAAAACACATCAATGGCTGTTCAGTGTCTAACAGTTCCCCTCCAGACTTCCTTAATATGCTTTGCAGGGTCCTTCGTGACCTCACTCTGCCAGTCTTTTATGCTCTCGGTCCCCTACTCCTACTGCAGCCATATTGAATCAATTTCAGTTCCTATCAGGTCTTCCACATGCTGACCTCTCTACTAAGCTCCTTCTTTCCTTAACAGATTCATCCTCTCCTCTAAGTCTCATAGTAAATCTGTTTCTTTCAGGAAGACTTCCCGATCTCTGGTCCAGATTGGGTGACCTTGCTTCCTGTTCATAGATCATAATCACTTCTTCCATCATAGCACCTGGTACTTCTGCCACTACAAAACTGTGCATGCATGCCTACATATCCATGCTCACATGCATTCATGTATGTGGACTGGACTGAACCCAAGGCTTACCTCATGCTGGCAAAGTGCTAACACTGAACTATATCCCCACCTCCATAAGCAAAGCCTAACATGAGCTCTTTCTTAAAAAACAGAACATAAGTTCAACCCACCAGAAACTGCCAGCAAACTTACATGATTAGAGGCCTTCTAATGGGGTAGACCAAATAAGACAACTCTGTAACTGTACCCAATCAAGTATTTGTTTTGTTTTACTTACATGGTCACTCCATAAAAGCCTCTCCATTATATTCCCTCACTGGGTTCCCAAACCATGACTGGTTTGGACTTGTCTGATTCATAAATTAGTTTGTTCAAATAAACTTAAACTTGTGTCTTTGTTTATCTTTTTAACAACAATAATCTGTGCTCCTGAAGTCAGGACTATGCCTGCCGCAAACTGTGCCTGGTACTTGCGGGATGCTGGAGTGAATTCCTGGGTGTGGTGAGGGATGCCCCTACTCGTGAGACTACTGCCATGCCCATTACCTGTAGCTGAAGAGTCAGCTTGGAATGAGCACCAATCTGGAGAAAGACTCCAAGCCAAGGCTGATCCTAGGGAAAATTCTCAGCAGAAAAATTGGGAAGAAGTCCAGACCAGCATGGCAGCAGGTGAAAGGAGTCAGCAGTCAGAATCAGGAGGGTGTTCTAACAGGGGGCACTGGAACACACAGAAGGCAAGTGGCAGTAATAGATGGTAATAGATGCCCTTCATTCAGCTTTCATTTTTTGTTGGGAGCTGTGCCTAAAACTGCATATACATTACCCACAAGGTAGGGACATGAAGAAGATCCTCACTATTGACATTTTAGACAGACTGAGGTGTAGCGCTAGCATAGACAGTGAGACCTTGGTTCCAATGCTGAGCTCTGTTGTTTACATTAGTGCTTCTCAAATCTTAATGTGCATTAAATCACCTGGAGGAAAAAAAAAAATCACCTGGAGATCATGTTCAAACGTTAATGTTTTGGTAGACCTAGGTTGGGGCCTAGGGTTGCACAGAGCTAACAAGCTCCCACTGATGGAGGTACTGCCGGTCTACAAGACATGCTTCTTCTTCTTCTTCTTTTTTTTTTTTTTTTTTTTTTGCAGGCTCAGGATGCCTTCAGGGCAGGTCTGGTTTGGCTTGAGGATGACGGGATCAAACCACAGCATCCGGAGCCTGACTGCTTTGTTTCAGCAGGCACTTAAACAGCTGAGCTAACAGGCAGGCCCCTAGACCATCCTTTGAATTGTAACACTGTGCACCTTTTTTCAGAATTGAAGTAATTCACTCAGGCTGCATAGCCAGGACCTTCAAATCCAGGTCTGTTTGACCCTAAAACTTTGCCAGACAAGATGCATGCTTGTAATCTTTTTTTTTTTTTTTTTTTAAATTCTTTCTTTGCATTTATTCTTCTAGAAAATGTAAATGCCAGTTCAGTAAGGCCAGGTATGAGAAGACACACTCTTGAGTGCTGCCCTATTTTATAGACACTGATTCTTCTCCAGACCTGGACTTCTGGAAATCACACTGCCAACCGCGAGGCCTTTCACTTCTGCAATCTGAAGGCTGGTCTTCCCTCCTCCTGAACTGGCAGTATGAACAAAACCCACCACTCAATGGCATTTTATTTCAGGTTATAATCCCTGACTAGACAGGGAATGCTGCGGGTCTGCTCCCAGTCTGCATGAGAAATCACACTGGTACAGCTGGGCCAGGGAGACAGTTCAGTGGCATAAGCCCCTGCCTGGCAAGTACAAGGTCCTCAGTTTGATCCCCAGTACCAAAACAAAAACAAAAATAAAAAACTGGTACAGGTGTTCGTTCTCCTCGGCATCCTACCCTTCACCTGGACTCAGAAACTGGGCACAGTGTAAACAGACAGAGGGGCTAGGTGGGCATGGGAGTGCATGCCTATAATCCCGGCACCTAGGAGGTTGAGGCAGGAGGATTACTGTATGAGGCCAGCATGGGCTACGAAGTGAGCTCAGGCTAGCCTGTACTGCATAGTGAGACCCTGTCCGAAAAACACAAAAAAACAGGGACGGACCAACCCTGTGCACCTCAGCCACCTCTGGGCCCAGCCTGAGCCAGGGCAATAAGGACAAGTTGGCCAAGAAGACTCCTGAGGGGGGGGACAACAGGTGGCCTCCAGCAGCCTCGCCACTCACATTTCATCCTCCCATCAAGCTAGCTGAGGGCTGGGAGCCTCTCCAGGGGCCTCTTCTTGGTTCTCCCCTGGCTGCGGCTGGGGGCCGGGAATCATCACCGTCTTAAGGATGGGCTGCTTTGGGGGCGCCCACAGGGGAACGATCTTGGCATGCATCCTCCAGCCCCCATAGGGATCTGTCAGGTGTCTCTCAAACACCACATACTCGAGGACGTCCTTGGGCACATCTTCCTGCCCATACATCAACCGGCCAAACCGATCGTAGATAGCCAGAGTCTGCCTCGAGTGCATGCGCACTGTGACCTGGCCAAACAGGCTGCCCTGGCTCACCATGCTGGAACAGCGAACCTGAACCACTTGGGCTGGCTCCAAAGACTCCACGAAGCTCCAGCGGACAGTCTTGTACCTGAGGTCCCAGACCATGTCCGGGAAGCAGTGCTCAGTGACCAAGGTGTGGAGCTGCTTGTGGTTGGAGTTGTTGAGACAAAGATGAGCTTCGATGAAGATATCCTTAGCTTTTTCAGGGAAGTCCTTTATCTTAAAATCGGCATCATATTCTCTTATCTTCCGGACGGATAGTTGTGATGCCACATTCTTCCTCATTCGCTCGGTTTTCTGCTTTAGTCCTTCTTTGGAAAGAGGTGACATGCGAGCATCGCCCTCTGGAGGAACGTAGGCATCGAAGATACCAGCTGTACAGGCCAGATGGATGGGGCGGTCCCACTGTTCTGGAGGGATTACCACTCCGGCTTTCCGGGCGTATTCTAGAAATTCCTTCTGTGTTAGGTACTGGGGTTCTTGAGGAGGAGGTGTGAATCGTTTCTTAGTTCTAACTGGAACTACAGCTGAGACCTGAGTCATCAGGATGGGCTGTCGAGACCACCATCCCAAAGCCCTGTTTAAGCAAGACAAGCCGCGCATCGAGGGAGCTGCCATTTTGTTGGCGAAAAGGCTGCCGGGCGCATGCTTGTAATCTTGACTACTCAGGAGGCTGAGGCAAGAGAATCTTGAGTTTGCTGTCAAGCTGGGCAATTTAGAGCCTGTCTCAAAGTTTAAGAAAAATTTTTTCAGGATTGAGGATTCAACCCATGGCCTTCACACCGAGCTACACCCTTTGGCCCTTTTTATTTTGAGACAGGGTCTCTTTAAGTCATTAAACTGCCCAGTCTGGGTTTAAACTTGCAATCTTTCTACCTCAATATCTCAGACTTCTGGGATTATGGGCATGAGCCACCATACTTATCTTGTAAAAAAATAAATAAATAAAAATTTAAGCCATTTCCTGGATTCAGGCCCCAGTACCAAAATAAATAAGTTTCTCAGAAGAGTCTACATTCTTAGATATTAAATGTACTGTGATATCTCCCTCTACTAACAGGAAACAGGCCCCTGGCTTCCAGACTGGGGCTTAAGAGACAAATCCTACTCCCTGAGAAATGGACAGGAGCCAGAAAAACTAAGATGGTTACTAAGACAGGGCCTCGAGCAGAGGGAACAAAACTAGGGCTCAGTTCCCAGACTGCAGCACAGGGTGGGGCCCAAGTCTTACGAACAATACAGAAGCTCAATTTCTAGAACCAGGGCATAATGGGACAGGGCTCAGAGACTAGATGCTGAGACTCCAGGTGGAGACAAATGCCTGCTGGATTCTCCTCCAAGGATAGTGATAGTGAACCTTTTAGAGATGAGATGCCAAACTGCAAGCCAAAACCCACTTAGTTAATCAAAGTGCCAACACTGCAGTTAAACCTGAACACTAAGGTTTTAGTTTAGAAACACTAACTCTATGTTAACATCTTGTGGCTTAAAAGAGAAATACAGTAACACACATGCCACAGGTTCACCACCACTGTCCTAGGGCCTGAAGTGGGGCCAGTTACCAGGACAGGACTGACTGCAATTGTGAGGAGCATGGGAGAGGAGAAGGCCAGGGAGTCACATTCTCTCCTCTTCTCCTCAGGATCCTTAGCACTGCTAAGAGAGGTGAGGCCTTCCTAAGGGGTACAGCACCTACATTTCCATCCTTCCTTCTCTTGATTTTCTCCGATCCGCTCCTCCACTCAAACATTTCCTGTTTGTGTGACCAGACAGTTCTGTATTTCAGGCCCTAATCCTATTGACTGAGTTCTGTCTGGATCCATAATAATGGCCTGCTATTTTTCCTGCCTTTTTTTCTCACTCCTGCCAGGGAGAGTCTCCAGGCTCGGCATGGGAACCTGGGGAAGAGCCCTGAGCAGGCAGGCTGAGCAGAGCGTTTCTGATGCTTCTGATCTGCTGCTTTGGCAAGGAGCCCACCCGCCAGCATGTGGCTATTTCGCAGTCAGCAGCTATATTAGGATCATAGCCACAAATTTTTCTTCGTGTGTGTGTGTGTGTGTGTGTGTGTGTGTGTGTGTGTGTGTGTGGGTGGGTGGCCAGCTCAGCCCACCAGGGGGCGTGGGCTGGCTGGCATGTGGTGCTGGGGGATTGAACCGCGGTTCCTGTGCTTTGCTAAGCTTGTTCTAAGTAGGTGCTTTAGACCACTAAGCCATCTCACCAGCCCTATAGCCAGAATTTTTCACTGACTTTTGGCTGCCTCTGAGCTTCCACAACAGAAGACAGGTACACATGTGACCTTCAGAATAAGTTAGAGTTCAAAAGAGAAGAATGATTAGGTAAATTTCTGAGCATGAATGTGAAAGAAATTAGCAAATGTTATTTCAATGGTATTGTTGTAGAAGAAAGTCTTCCTGTGACTGGGAAGCCCACCATGTGCCTATTGTCATTTCTGCTCCCAGAGAAAGTCTCCATGTCCAAGTGACCCTTCTCCCAAGAGGGAAGGTGTCTGGGCAAAGAAAGGCTGTTGCAGAAAGGGGAATTGTCAGCATCCTCTTACCCTTCCAGGCTCTCTATCTCTTTCTTTTTTTAATGTATTTAGTGCAGGGTTTATAGGCTCTCACTACGTAGATTGGACTCTTAGTGATCCTCCTGTTTTCAGCTTCCCAAGTGCTGGGATTACAGGCGCACACCACCACACCCAGTCTTAGTTGCCATCTCAGTGTACCTCAGAGGCAGGGCTGGCACAGCAATCCAAGGATCGAACCCTGGCCACCAACGCTCTCCCTAAGCAGGTACTTTTAGTCTGCTGAGTTATCTGGCTGGCCCTGTGTTTTGTTTTTTGAGACAGGGTCTCACTGTGCAGTTCAGGCTGGCCTTGAGCTCACTTTGTAACCCAGGCTGGTCTCAAACTCACAAGGATCCTCCTGTCCCAGCCTCCTGAAAGCTGGAATTATAAGCATGTGTCACCATGCCAGGCTTAGCATTTCATATTTTTTAGTTTAAAACAAAACAAAAACACCTCATGCCACATATAGTGGCACTTGCCTTAAACTACTCAGGAAGCTGAATCAGGAGACAGCTTGAGCTCAGGACTTCAAAGCCATCCTGGGAAACACAGTGGAACCTCATCTCATAAAATCCCAACGTGTAGTTTATACATATACATAAGAGATTCCTCACAGTTACGTTTGAGAGTGAGATCGCAGTGGAAGGGGGTCCATTTCTTTTGCCTTATAGAAGATTATTTGAGGGGCTGGTGAGATGGCTCAGTGGTCTAAAGCACCTACTTGGAACAAGCTTTGGCAAAGCACAGGGACCGCGGTTCAATCCCCCAGCACCACATGCCAGCCAGCCCACGCCCCCTGGTGGGCTGAGCTGGCCACACACACACACACACACACACACACACTAAATAAATAAATAAATATTTTTTTAAAAAAAAAGAGGATTATTTGAATTTGTTGTTGTTGTTGTTGTTTTTTTGCAGAACCAAGAATCAAACTCAGACCATTGCGCTTGCCAGGGAAGCATTTATTCTACTCAGCCATCTCCCCGGCCCCTGGTTTTTTTTTTTTTTAATTGTAGTTTATTTTTTATTTATTTATTTGTGTGTGTGTGTGTGTGTGTGTGTGTGGCCAGCTCAGCCCACCAGGGGGCGGGGCTGGCTGGCATGTGGTGCTGGGGGATGGAACCGTTGTCCCTGTGCTTTGCTAAGCTTATTCTAAGTAGGTGCTTTAGACCACTGAGCCATCTCACCAGCCCTGTTGTTTGTTTTTGAGACAAGAGTCTTACTGCATAGCCCAGGCTGGCCTTAAACTCAAGACAGTCCTCCTGCCTCAGCCTTCTGAGTGCTGGGATCATAAGTGTGCACCACCACAAGGGGTCACTCTATTTGAACTATTAGAGTAAAAATTATTAATTATTAGTATTACTTATGTGATCCGAGAAAAAAGGAAGAAATTAAGGAAGGAGGGGAAGGAAGAAAGAGGGAGATTTGAGAAAGAGATATGAGGGGAAGAAAAAAAGAGACAGAAAGACAAAGAGAGAGAAAACAGCAGGCTACATCTACCTCCTCCCCCTCTTTCTCCCTGAGTAAGACCTAGGGCATCTCATCTATGTCCCACGCTGTAGGAACAATTGGAGTCCTCATAGGACAGCAGCTGCTCACCCCCTTTGGTGCCATTATTCATCACGTATTTATTTTATTGAGATTTGTGGGAGCCAAAAGAGTTCAAGCTAAAAATATGCACAATAAGTTTTAGCCATTTAAAAAAATCAAAATAGGGTCAGGGAGATTGCTCAGTGGCTTACAGGCCTGCTTGGCAAGAACAAGGTCCTGAGTTCGATCCCCAGTACCACAAAACAATAGATAAATAAAATTAAAAAATCAAAATAATGAACAATGTGTAGGGAGACTGAAGGCAAGAGAGACCAAAGGGAAACCGCACAGGCACAAATTGGGCAAGAAAGTGGGCAGCAATTCCAAGCAAGCAGCAGGAAATCCCAGTCCCCCTTAGAAAATCCAAGGACCTGCTACTCCTTGTTTAAGTATATTGCCACCTTGAGTCCCAGAGATAGGGCCCAAAGAGCAAGTGTAAAGTCACTGTCTCTGGGGGCCCCTCATTGCCTCTGAAATGCTGTGGCACTGGCCAGCAGCTCTGAACTTGGGTCTCCAGTGTCCTGTTCTTTCAAAATCCACCTCCAAGCGAACCTGCCCCAGAATCCCTCCTTGCATCCCCCCTTCTGCATCCTATTTGTGACCTCAGTTTTCCAGTTATCTTGCACTTGGTAACTGTTGCCACTCTGGACCTTATTACTATGCCAGTTATGTGAGCGTTTCATTGATCTGAAAACTTGGAGCACAGGCTAGAAGAGCCCCTCTTCACCCTGGGGCCAGGAGCTACATGTCTGCAGGGGTATCTGGTGACCTTCCATCCCCTTCCTGCACCTCTCCATGCTCGTCACAGTGACATTGCCCAGAAGCCAGAAGGACAATGCTTAGCAGATGACCATGCAGGCATGCCTGTCTAATTCTAGCCAAGGGAGGAAAGGCCAGAGCCCAGGGACCTGTGGTCTCTGCGCTGAGAAGACGTAGGTCTAATAATAGGAGGGGAGATTAGGGAGGGATTTGAACTGCATTGTTATCTCACAGGAATGGCGTTCAAGAGTCTTTTTTCTAAGCTCCACAGAGCTCTGTGCCAACCCCTCTGCCCAAGTGGCTACAGAAATATCACTATCTTTTGCCACTTCTCTCTTGTCTCCTGCCTCTGCTCTCTAGTCAACTCCTATCTTTTCCCTTACTACTACCCTGTTCCCCCAATCCCTCATCCCTTTTCTTTCCATGTTCTGGTCTTCTGCACCTATTTCCCCATGTCTCTGCCACGATCCGTTTCCTTCCACCACTTTCACAAGCACTTCCGTGTGTGATGTCCTCCCTTGTCCCACGCCTGGCCCTTTCTGGGTTCTTCATCCCACCTCTTTTCTTCCCAGGAGCCTCACCGTCTTCAGTGGAAGGCTCTAGATCTCCCCCCAGGCCTGTGGCTTTCATCCCCAGTTCTGGGTCCACCCTTCCTCTGGTCCCATTATTCTGTCGTCTCCCATAGCTGAGCAGGACAAGCACAGGTAGGTA